TTACTTTAAAAAAAAATATTTCAAAACGGTTGAAGTATAGGAATACGGCAAACGTTGTCAAGGAAAGCCTTAGAACTACTCTAGAACATCTTAAATCAGCTGTTATTATAACGGAAAAACTAAGTATTAAAAATGAGTACTACAGTATACAGTGGAAGGAGGGTTTCGCATCACTGCAATACAGGGAACAGAGAAGAGATGATTTCCGTTGGCAGGTGTAGAAAAGAATTCTAAACAGTGCTCTTAAGAAAATAGCACGGGCGGACCGAAATAGCAATCCCTCAGAAAGCCCAGAAAAATGGCAAAGAGCGGTGACTTTAAAAAAGAAGAGAACTAGCGATGGCGAGAGGGAAAAGGTCTCTCCTAATCATAGGAGTGCCCAAACAAAAGGCCGTGACACGATGGCAAAAGTCCTGGTGAATGTCGAAAAAGGACAAACCTTTGCCGGGAATTGTCTAATATACCATACTTTCAAGTTTCAAGTAGTTTTTTTATTACTTGCATAAACAAAGCAACGTCCTTAAGTACTGTTTATGAGTTTTTTTGTAGGTAACAACATTACCGATACCTTAAATAAAATGGACAAGCATAGTAGAATACTATCCTAATAAGTAATTTTTAAAGAAATTTTAATTATTTCAATGTTTAAATTTGTAAAAAGTATTTTAACATGGGTTGAAACTTGGCACAATTACTCTTTGAATAGTTTTTTATCAGTCCTAAAAGTTTTGTTGAGATGTATTATTTACGTGTTAGTTTTTAATACTGATTCGGCAGCCATTCTATAAGAGCGTTCCCATGTTCAACACGATTTTTCATTGTCTTATTTCTCAATATATGATATTATAACACGTGCCAAAAAAAATATGAAAGGATTTAGAATAGTATAAATATAACTATTTTTAATTTTCTTAAAATTCTGTCATTATTTCATATGAGTAGGTAACGTCCTTAACGAGCAAAAAAATGCATAAGTATATCGTGCTTGAAAATTACTATAATCAAAGAAGATAAGTTAAGTGTTTTTAAAGTAAATATTTTTTAAAATGATCAAAGTTCTATCCACTTATTACGTAATAAATCATTTAATTTTTGTAATCGATAGCTGTTTTCTTTAAATTTCGAAAAGTTCTGAAAATTCTATAGAAAATTATTCTGTAAACTGTACCTATGTAGGTACACACAATTATTACATATATATGCAGACAAACTTGGACGTCTAGGTAGGGCCAACCTCTTCCCCGGTAACATCATGCCATGAACATAACGTTTTGAAAACAGTGTAAGTACCGAATCTTTCACAGCGATGCAAAATTCAAACGTTTTTTACGGTTAACGTCTTATGGTTATGATTCATCATGATTTTTTAGCTTCTACTTTGCCTTTTTTAATATTACGTCTAGTAGTTTTGAAAACTTTTAATCTTCACAAACCTTTTAAAG